TTTGTTCCAAGTATCTGGTCTTTAGAGTCAACTGTCATACAACTAAAACTGTTACTATTCTATTCGTCATCAGTTTGACTATTGGAGATTGCACAATTGAAACTAGATGATGTTTGAAGGTGAAATGAAAATTTGTCCTGCCACAGGGTGTGAGTCAGTGACCTCCGGATTTTCATCCCGATTCTCCACCAACTGACCTACGACGTTCATCTGCTAACAAGATTCTAGTTTCACTTCAGTGATCAAGGCCATTGGTTTGAATCGTGCTGCAATCCAAATGTTCACTTTTCCCATTATCAAGTGTGTTTTTTCTCACTAGGGATACAACAGGATGATATCACTTGGCATCCAACAACTATAAAACTACCAAAAGAATTGTGTCGGTATATTCGTAGTGTTTCACTAACTCCTTTATGATATTTAATCTTACACTTGAACCTGAACCAGAGTTGACAAAACTTTATAGAAGCTAATACCAAGAACAAATACCTTTCCATTTAAACTAGAAGCTGTTTATTCATGCGGCTAATCTCGATAGCTAACTCAGATGAGCTGAAATTATCGATTTCTTTCAGTTTCAAGTTAAATAATGATGTAAAAAGTATCATTTATCACAGTCCACGACATAACGAAGCCTGTAGGAATTCTCTGACAATATTCTATCCATCTTTGTAAAATGTCTTATCCTTTTTGTGAATGGAGGCGAAGTCAAAAAGAAGGGAATTACATTTGTAACCTTTCAATGTAAAGGGTAGATATTTCAAGAACCGTTTTCCATCACTGATGAAATCAATAGATTAGAGAAATTAGGCCGATAAAGAAGTAACGGAATATTATGAAAAACGGGAAGAAGTTTAAGAAAGTGGATGGGGCTAACCAAGTCGGATATGAAGATAGTTACTCAAAGATGGCATTAGATGAAGGTCGCTCTATGTGATGAACTGACATAAGTAAGAAATATGGACCACTGGATTCCAAACCCATGGCTCAGTGATAACGTGTTGGCTACGGAACCTGTAGGTCTTGGGTTCGATCCTTGGTGGAGTCATATGTGTGCACTGCTGAGGAGTCCCATACAGGTAGGAAGAAACGACTATCCAGTGCTCTCAGGTTTCCAATGTCCCTCGAACTGATGTCAGTCCATCATGAATACCAGTCTGGGACGCAATTTTTCTGAACGCTTAAATGAAGGTTTGATCGGTAGTTTGTCGATGCGTGTGTTAACCTCACTCCTTTAGAAATACTTGGTCAGAATTTGCTCACAACCTTCTGTGATGTTTAAAGATAATTAGGTCCCCTTAATTAATTAGGCACTTTGACGACGCGATCAAGTTAGGTTGTGTTCAGGAGTACTTTAAGAAACCGACTTCAATGTATACTACCAATTTCCTCGGTATCAGAGAAGCAAATAAACTTGTAAATACACATTACCGAGGAACGATATATTATAATACTTGTACTCCAAATATTGACAAATCATCTGTGGGTTAGCAAAGAAAACTTTTAGACTTTAAGCATAAACCATTTGGCTTGGAGATAGATAACTTGTTTCTGTGGAACAGCTTTCTTCTTTTTTAAGAACACCCATTTGTTCCTGTTTGGGACTCGTCAGATAGATGTACCTGCCTCCCCCTCAGTGATGCTGTTCCCACTAAAACCCTCACCTACAACTAATGACTTCAAATGTCAGGCTGTTATTTACTAGATCACCAAGTCACGACAGGCTTTAGTCTCATTTGAAACGTCATCAACCACTAGGAGACGAGTACATCCATCTGACGAGTCCTAAACACAGAGAAACACATCTCCTAGATTCCACTGCTAGCCACTAGCCATTATTAATATCAAATTTCAACATACTGGTAATAACCAGGCATCCACACGGCAACTTATATGCCAATAGTGCTCGATCATTTCGGTCCAATCAACAACGGAATTCACAACGTATAACATTGAAGACTACTAATACTGATTGACTGGAAGAAAGAATTCAGTGTTGATTAGACTGAACTATGACCAACGGATGGTAACCAACTTATAAAATACAAAATGCTTTGTACTGGCTAAAATGTGTTGTGTGGCCAGTGATTATTATTATTATTATTGTCATTAGTCTCTTGGGGGGGCTTCACTAGCACGTCTCCATTCCACTCTGTTCTCTGAAATCTTTTGAACCTGGCTACACGACAGCCCAGGAGCTCTCATTTCCTCCTCGCACGATCTCCTCCATGTCACCCTCACCTCGGACGTCCAACTCGTCGCTTCTCATCTGAGTTCCACTCGAGCAACTGACCTGACGCGTGATTTCCCCAGTCGACCTTCTCAGTGTATGTCCAATCCATCTCCACTTCCTTCTGCATATTTGTTGCCTGATAGGTTCTTGGTTGGTTCGTTCCCAGAGCTCCTTGTTGCTTATTCTTTCTTGCAATCCATCTGCTCTCCAGTAGCGAGCGTAAGCAGTTGTTGATGAATGTCTGTAGTCTATTGGAAATCCGTTTCGTAACGCGCCAAGTCTCTGAACCATACAGGAGCACTGAATTGACGTTGGTGTTGAAAATCCGTATCTTGTTCCACATGCTGAGTGCAGAAGATCTCCACACTGATTTCAGGCTAATGAACGCCTGTCTTGCTCTTCCGATTCTGACTTTGACATCTCGTCTGTGCCTGTGCCGCCTGTAGTTGAAACAGTGCTTCCTAGATAGGTGAAGGAGGTTACTTCCTTTAAGTTTCTCCCGTTTATGGTGACTGGAGTTTGTTGTTGATGGTGGTGTGGTATCTTCATCACCTCTGTCTTCTCTATATTCACTTGAAGCCCCGTCTTCGCTTCCCTGCCTTTTCTGTCAACTTGTTAGTTTTCGCCTGTAGATCTTCAAGTTTATGTGACATCAGGCACATGTCATCGGCGAAATCCAAGTCTTCTAGGTTCTTTTAATCAGTCCAGCGTATCCCCTTCTTCTCGCTCCCCACGTGGCCAGTGATGTGATACTGTAATTCCCTGTGTTTCATATGAGATACTTTTAGGAAACTATTTAATGTGTCAACCAAAGCTATCTTAATTTGCAAGTCTGTGGGGATTTATTGATTTCATAGCTACCATAGATTAACCAATTAACTGAAGCTGATGTAATCCAGTCCCATAAAAGTATTTTGGCCAGAAAATTATTACGACAGCAATGACAGAACTCAAGACCACGCTGACAGTTCGAAAAAGCTGGATAGGCTTTCTGGAGATTCTCAGCTAGAGTCTTACTGCCTCACAGTTTTCCGTCTAACTTCAATCATCAAACAAGTTCAGTAACTTTCTTGTTAAAAGTAACAAACAACAACATTATTTCAAGTTGTTATTCATCGTAAACTGACATCAGTTGGAGGAACAAAGGAAACCTGGGAGCACTGGACAGCTGTTTCGTCCTAGTATGGGACTCCTCAACAATGCGCACCCACAATGGAACCCGCGACCTTCAGGTTCCGCGGCCAGCGCGTTACCATCGTGCTACCGGGTCAGAATCCAACATATTATTTGATAATACACCTGAACGCCTCACTGTATCATATCGAATGAGTTCATTTTAGAGTATTCTGTACCAGTAGTCAAGTTGTATTCCCATGCTGTTTTTAAGGCATAACATAAGACTTGTTTAAGAAAAAATTCCACTCCATTTTTGGCCCTAGTAACGCATTACCCAGTTAACCAACCAGATGTTTTAATAACAATGTTTAAGTACTAGTTAAGTGTACTAATGTAACGGAATTTTTCTGTCATTTCTGTGTACAATAATCTAACCCTCTCTCTATGCCTGTGTCTCTATGTTCAATGAATATTTTACATATACCTGACCATTTTGAAATGAAAAACTTGTCTTATCCATTCTTGAAGTATGTATTGAAAGACATACAGACACACATAGGCATACATATGCACAAATATACGTACACTTTTCTACTAGATCACTAGTACTACTACTAGTAGTACTAGTAGTTATAGTATTGGCATATAAAATTATATTATTTGGGGAAGAGATGATTACTAGTTGGATGGAGAGGGGTTAGAATTCAGTTATATATCTTATACTGTGAATATGAGTGAATTTCTCTGTGACCATAGTAGTGAATGAGTGAGCGAGTGGTGATAAGCAGTGAAATTCGTTTAACTTCGAAGCGATAAGGTCATCATCATCATCATCATCATGTGTCTAGCTTCGCCGACTGCTTACCAATACAACACGCTAAAATATAAAGTTGTTTGCTAAGTGAAGACATGCACATATCTTTTAAAGCATTACTATTAGATAGTAGGATATACGTGCAGTATGCTTATATACTGATAGGTTAACGCGCATAGGTTGATAGGACTTTCACATAAAAACATCAAGGGTAGACAATTTATATATTAAATGCATCTATTTGATAATATACCTACATATGTATTCGGAATACAGAGAGAGGGGGTGGGATATTGGGGCAGACAAGAAAAATGATACTAAGAGACGACGGAGACAGAGAGAGAGGGGAATGAGGGTAAATTAAACCAGAATTATAGTATGGTAGTGAGTATGATTTCACTCTTATGACATGAAAGGCACTTGTTTATTAATTCATTCAGTGTTCACATCATATTATCACATATCATACATCATATACATATATATATATATATATACATCTTTTCAAAGAAACCTGTTATTATCCTTATTATTAAGTATCACAATCACTATTGGTACAACGGAGACTATTCTTCTTTAACATCGTACACCATAATTAACGTGGATTACTACGATAGCTGGTGGTGTGGTACGTTTTCTCTCTAAATTGTGTTATCCGGTATCTCTGATGCCCGTTAAATCCCCGTACTGAACGAAATTTATCAAAATACTGGCAGTTCGATAGCATCACATATGAAAACGGATGAACGGACCGCCTTGACAGCCATAACGACGATGACAACGACGACAACAACAACTCAGAATCTCATAGCAAATGGAGTATTCAAATGTAGTATTATGCCATCGGAACAAAATAGTCCAGAATTGAATGAAGTAAAAAAAATTGAAGCTTCAGAAGAGAATATTACATGTGAAACTTCATCTGTATCATTGTCTCCTTCATCAGTATTATCTTCACCACTAACAACAACACCAATATCCACTTCAACAACTCCGATTGTCACTTCAGTGATAAGCACAACATCATTATATTCTTCAGCAGCTTTATTTAATTCAGTAGGTTCGTTGAAACGTGCACGTGTAGAGTCAACTTCAGTCGAGACTAATCACAACACCATTAATCAACCTAATTTACCGACTGAATTTCCATGTCCTTGTGGTCAAATTATATCAGTGAATTCCAGTGGATTCTTGGAACATGCACGTCAATGTCAAGAATTTATGATGACAGCATCAAATTTCGCTGAAGTTATCGCTATGAATGCAGCAATGGTTATGTCATCTGAATGGAATAAATGTTTACCATTGTTAAATCATCAGGATTATTTTATGATGAACAATAAGAATATGAGTGTAAGTAAAAATGTTCAGTTGTTTGATGGTTACAAGTCTCCTTCGTCTTTGACGCTTAAACGGCATGCACACCAAGATGATCATCATGAACGACAACGTTTACAATCCTCATCCACAAGTGTGAACACGACTGTCTCATATTCACATCAGTCAGCCTTAGACTTATCATTTCGTTCAAATGAAATGCATCCAACACCAACAAACAATGATGTTCACGTTAGACACGACTGTCCAGAGTGCCCACTAACCAGTACAGATGTGTCAGTTATACTAAGACATTTTGAAGCAGAACACAATCGAATCGGAAATTTTACATGTTCTAAGTGTAATGAATCGTATGATTATTTACCAGATTACTTAAAACATCAAATGCTCAATGACTGTTTAAGTAATCCGCTTACATTATCGCCTATATCACATTCTGTTGTCTCATCGTTTGATAGTACACCTTCAAAGAAGGCTATAGCGAAAACGGTTACATCAGATGCATGCGCCGAACGAGACTGCTCATATCCTATGCGTAATTATCCACATGAAAATTATAATCATTTAATGAAAGAAATGTTTCGTTGTAGAAATTATTCTTCAGCATCGTCTCCACCGACGTCACCGCGTACACAATCAATCAATGATTATACTACTGTTAATACTACTGAAATACATCCATCTAGTAAAAATTAATTTGTAATGCATGTAATCAAAGTGGATTTTTGCATACAACTGAATTAATTACACATTTAACTCAATGTCCTAAATTTATTTCACTTACAGAAAATATTGCTGGAAGCGATACCACTACTACTACTACTACTAATGTCACAGTAGTTAGTAGTACTGCTAATGCAGATTTATCAAATACACAAAGAAATAATGGGCTAGAGAATTTTGCACTAGTAACATCTTTGAATGCCACACAGACAACACCATCAAAAGAAAAGAAAAATAAGAATAATAATACTGATAATGATAAAATTAGTATGCGTGGTTCACCATTATTGAATGGACTGATGAACTCGTTACCATATGACTCACTGAAATTATCCCGTGGATCATTGTTTTCCCCGTATACACATGATAACAGCAGTTTTTCACCCACTCGAATATTATACAATGAGAACAAAGTTGATGGTTCTAGTTTCACTACTACTTTGAATAATATCGATGATAACAGTTATCGTAATGATATGTATCCAACATCACCGAGTTCTTCACGTCCAACAAATCCACAGTCATTATATTCTAATTTTATGTCGAATCTACAATCAATTGGAAAATCTTATCTTGGTGGAACAATGAAATGTTCAAAAACCTTGGGAAAAGAAATATTCACCAACTCACCTATCAATGCAATTATGATGAATAATGGAGTTGGTTACAACAATGTCACCTCTGTCAATTCATTACTTATGAATGAATTTAGCATAAATCAACGTCAAAGTGGACATTCTTCACATCATCGTGGTCATATGAAAGATCATCTTCAACACCATCATCATGAACAACGATCACATCAAAGTAATACTATGAATAACTTGTCTTCAGCGATAACCCCAGATGGTACAACAGATTTATCAAGACCATTTAAATGTTGTCATTGCATTAAAGCATTCAAATCCAAAGCTTTATTAGACCAACATATGCATATACATTATCCACCAAAGTATACCTGTCGTTATTGTGCTAAAAAGTATCGTTGGCCACCGGTATTCTATCATCATCAACGTACGTGTAAAAAGCGTCCACCATCAACTACATGCACAAATAATGATACACACACTAGTACAGTAACTGTTACAATGGCTTCAAGTAGTAATACAATGAAGCATAATAACCATAGTAACCTTAGCTATCTAACTTCAGGGTTAGGGAAGAACTGCTCACTGACTTCAGAACCAACCTTTATTAAACCTTCAGGTTTTCGTTCTGAAAATCATCAAGCTGATGAAAGGCAACACAATACAATATCGTTGTCAAGAAGTACAGATGACAATAAAGCAGGAAATGGAGCATTTCAGTCATATGGACATACACCATGTTTTACACCATTCAACTCTGATCTACATATGACCTCAGGTTTACTGGAACTGTCCAACAATCCTGCTATGATTCATAATAGTAATAATAATGGTAATATTATTAATAATATTAGTAATGATGATTTATCTTTGATGTCTCCATCGAATTTCAATAACTTCGCAACACTGGCTGCTGCAGCGGCTGCAGCAGCAATGAGTATGCATTTTCAAATTCCATCCATTTCGCACATACCCCCACCACCACCACCCCATTAGGATTCAACACTTCATTTCCATCTTCGTCATCATCATCATCTACTTCATCATTATCACCAACAGCAACGTCACTCTATCATCGTTCCTTCAACTGTATGAATGCACCACAGTCAGTATTGACTTCATTGCCATCACCATCACTGTCATTGTCATTGTCATCGACATCGGCAGCAGTATCTTCACTTTCATTATGTTCTAATTTATTGAATCAAACACTTAGTCGTTCAAATTCATGTTTCCCTTCGTCAAACAAAGGTATTTTTCAATCACCATTCCTTCCAACACCTTTTCCAATGCCAAATTTAAGTGAAACCGTAAGTTCCAATTATTTAAATGAACTCAGTATGAAGACGGAATTAATTTCTGCATTTCCCAATTTTTCAGCACTCACTAATATACCATCATCATTGAGTTCATCATTGGAACAACCGACGACAAGTGGCAATCCAGCTGAATCTTCATCTGGACAATCAAATATTTTAAACAATTTACTATGTATATGTGGAATACGCTTTGATGAAGTATCAACATATTTATCACATATTACAAGTTGTAATTACTTAAAAAACCTGGTACAACAACAACTGCCACCACCGCGGTTGAGTCGATCCGATGATTGCCTAACACCATCTTCATCGTCTTCATCATCATCAGTAGCATCTCCGCCACCAGTACCACTACAATTGCCACAAATAGTATCGCAATTACCACCAGAAAGACAGCCTACATCAACATCATTTCTACCTACATTTCCACATTTTCAGGCATCATTACCACATCTTTTTCCTTTCAATTTTTCAATTCCTCCATTGTCAAGTATAAATCAATTTTCTTTTCAAAATGAGGTATTAAACAATACTAAAAAGTCATCTGTAGATATAAAAGGTGTAGATGGATCTGCTGACTGCCTACTGACTGGTGGTAACATTCATCCTTTGCATCAGGACAATTCAGATGCAATGAATAGAATGGCTATGATGAAATCCAGCTGCAGTCCACTGAATGACATGAAACTACCTGGAGTTCGATCAGAACCTATGGAATATGAAGAATTGAATAACTGTAAAGATCTTACTAAGCTCAATCAAAGTCATCCCAAAGAAGACGACAGCTCCTCAAGCAGTGTTCAGATAAAAACTCAAAACAAACAATCTAAGTCTCCTAAGAATGTATCAGTTAATAATCCTGATGATCGTGGTGATCACTGCTTTGAGTATACATCAGTTTTTAATTTGACAAAATCTACTCCAGGAAGGAATCAAAGCCCAGTAGATGAATATAATCCAGAAAACAATACCCTATCAGGAGATTCATGTCACGACGACAAAGTGAATATGCATTCATCCAACAGTCCATTTGTAACAGCGATGGCTAGTGTTCTAGCGAATGCGGCAGCTGCAGCTGGTTTTCACTGTCCTGGTTTACAAGATTTTGCCTACAGAAAACTAGCTATCCAACAGTGTTCCTCTCCAGAAACTCCTGCACCATCTACCAGTACAAGTTCTGCAGTTGAGAGTGTAGAGATTACAGCTTCAGAAAGGTATTCTGAACGTAATAAATCCGATGATAGTCCAGATGATTCAATGCCTGTGTCTATGATAACAGGAAACTCCCCAAAATCGTGTTATCAATGTGGTAAAGAGTTTAGTTCGCGTCTATCATTGAAACAACACGTCGAAGGTAAACATAGTACAGAAGGGAAGTATTGTTGTCCAGGCTGTTCAAAACGCTATCGATGGGGGCTTCTTATTATTATCATAAAAAATCGTGTCCAGCTGTCAGAGAACAAAGTCCGATTTCAAGTGACATTATCAATAATTTATCATTATCTGGTACAGAAGACAATTCCTCTCCATCTTCATTACATTCTCCCGATCCTTCAGCTAATCCTATTGAACAATATGCTACAGAAGACAGAGATTTAGATGAAAATGTTAGCAATGATGTTGATGATGATGAATTACAACGGAGTTTCAACAACTCCCCAAGTAGGCATACTTTCAAGAGGGAAGTTTTACAGTTTTCTAAAATCAGTCGCCAAACGTCCAATTCTATGGAAGAATCTCATCTAAGTAGAAACAGTGATCCAAATGACAGCCGGCCTATTCCATCTAAACTGACTAAACAAAGAATACTGAATAAACATCAAAAAACTTGTCAGAATCTTAAGGAAGATTCATCACTTTGTGATATTAAAGCATTTCCAGTAAGTTATCATTCATTTACATTGATATTTATCTATTGCGGGATGTGACAGATGGTGGTAACGTGGAGGTACGATACCCCCGCCCTCTAGTACACTTGTACTGTGGGTAATCCTACACTAATTAACTTTTACTTACTTGTAAAACCCACTGGAGATGGTATGATATCTGGTTTTTACTTTATCTTGTTTATACACTTGTGACTTCTAGTGGAAAATGTCAGTAGTCAATTGTCAGCGTTAAGACGACTACAATATTTTCAGTCAACTATTACTCACCTATTTCAGCTTGATCAATTATTTTAAAGGAGATAGGTCTCTCATAACTTGTGAATGAATGACATGCAAATTATTTACAAACCGTCCGACTGTTGCCTTAACAGTGATTTTCTTTCCTAGGACATACTTCAAGTTGTAATGTCTGGTACAAAAGATTTATTACTGCACATTTCGTCTGTCTGGTACTAATTCCTAAGAATTTGCAGAGTTCGCTACTCAGGTTGACATAACTTTGTCACGAAAAGTTAGCATTAATATCTTATGACAAGTTTCGCCAGTTATCTACTCACCATTTTTATCCCTTAGGAGGACAGCTTAAATCAATTACTTGGGAGGGATACCGTTGATATGCATGACCAGACCACAAAGTATAGACACTTATACTAACCTGTACTGGGATTTCTGAGTTCATCAACATTTCTAAGCAGACTCCATATTTTGTTGGAAATTTTCAGCACAATTTCCCAATCACATCTCATTAGGTCGTGTTATCCTTACCTTGAAAACGAAGGGAACGAAACGTGTTCTACCAGCTTGTGCGCATGTGTGCAATGAGCCAGACATGTTGTGCGACGGCTAGAGATACCACTTGGCTGCCTAAACTCGAGCAGGTGGGTAAGGATCCGAATCCATGACTCAATGGCTGGCAGTCATCTCCTTAAACCACTGAGCCACACCTCCACTTATCCTTACCTAAAGCTACTAATCAAGCAAAGGCTTCTCCCTTGTATCCTGAAATTAGTCAACAATTCCATAAAAGTTAGTTAGTGATAACATGTGAAGAGATTAGATCTAGTCCACAGAAAATTAGGCTGAATGAGTGATATTAGCAGAATTCTTCTACATGAGTTGCTCATACAGAGCATCAGATTGAAAACACAGTCAAATTTGCTGTGAATAAGATTTTTCTACGGATCTTGAAGTGAACTTCTGCAAGTTGACACTTACACAGTGGTCACTTCTACTATTAGTGCTCAAGATGAATAAAGGCTCTTAGGATATATGCAGTTAGCTGTAAATAAGCAGCGTATAGTTATTAGAAACGGGCTCGATTTCTTAAGTAGCTAATCATTATCCGTTTAACCGTCTGAGATAGCCGTGGTTCGGCAGACTTGTATTATTGATACTGGATGGTAACTGAAGGTAGTCAAACTGATAATCAATATGATACTCTCACTCTTTGGTTCCGTTTGACTTGGATTAAAATAAGACGTCCTGGTTGGGTAATCAGTGTAAATACGGTGAACGGACAGTAACGCATCAAGAATTCTCATGACGATGGGGAAGTGAAATTCAGAGGTGGTCAGCAGCCGGGTCTCATTAGCCAGTTGGTAGATCACCGGGCTGGTAACCGAAAGGTCACTCGTTCGAATCCTGCGGTGGACAAAGTTTCCATTCCATCTTCAATCATCACCCACTATCAATTACTTTTTAAACAAATAATAGGATGCAGGCGAATCAAATCAATGAAAAAGGACTAGATTTACAGTTATACTACAGTTACTTCACTTATATTACGGTTATCTATTCAAAAATGTTATCATGTTTGCACTACATGAAGCTGAAGTTTGGTCAGGCAAGACTCGAATTTTTGTTATGCTATCAGGATGAAGGAAACAATTATTTAAAAAGACTGAGAAACTTACAGATATCAGGGGTCAGATGAACATGCAACAATCATAGATTACTAGATAACTTGGTCGACTGTAGATAGTATTAATCACGAAGTGCCATCTATCGGAGAACACACTTGAAGACCTGGGAGTACTGGATAGTATGGGACCTTGGACGGTTCTAGGCTGCATTCCCAATGGAGTCGTGTGTATGCAGCTGAGGAGTGTCGTACTAGGACGAAATAGCTGTCCAGTAGCTTCAGGTTTTCAACAGAATGCTCGTACTGCTGAATACATGTCTACTAGTAGATCTATCGTAGTATATAATTACAGACAAAATCGTAATTCTTTCTCAATGAAAAAGTCCCCCTACACTTTCTTCGTAAAACGAACCAGTTTAGAATTAGCAAATCGACTTCAACATGGTAATAAAACCACTTTATCTAAAACAAAAATACACCATTGATCAGTTAGGTACATAATATCCTTTCTAAATGTTATAAAAGGAATAAAAATAGTCGAATTTACAGTTTGGTTTGCTCTGTTTTACGCATCGATTGGTATATTATTGAAATTATTTTTTGTGGTTCTTTTTGTGAATAAAAATACAAAAATAGTCAGATGAAATCGATGCGCTAAATTAATCACTGAAAAAACAATAACAAGGAAAGTAACAACACTGTATAAGAAATAAACACCTGTTCAATCTACCAAGAACTAGTTGATGAACTATAACCAAAGTCTTAATTAGTATAGGTGGCTTGAAAATGACCACTGAAGCAATAGGTACCAGGTTTGGAATATCGGCTCAAATTGCTGATGAGTCCTCAAAAGGACGAAATGCACGTTCTGAGTTCAACTGCTTGCCATCACTAAACTAATATAACTATGTTTCGATATCATTTATATAAGTTCTTAAGTCACTGTTCAGTTAATATACAGATGAATGAATGATACTACCAGGAGATATTGCGATGTTAGATAATTTAACAAGTATTTCGAAGGTAATATAGATGTATTGTCCAGTTTTTAGTTGGTTTCATCACTTTGACCATTTCAACGTGACTAGTTGCCATCTTGGATTCGAAACTACGACCGAAACAGGCTGGCTGGCTGAATTCAGGAAGTACAAATCATGTGCCAACCAAATTGAAACACAACACTACGCATCATCATAGAACAGAGTATAGAATGGCAGTCAACCCTCTACCTTACCTCAACTTCATCCAATTTGGAAAGACCCTCGACAGCGTCGACCGACAAGTACTTTGGCAGGCAGCTGCTCCAACACTACGGAATACCACAAACCTTTATCAACCTCATTCAACAGCTTAGCTATATGAAGACGCCACATGCTAAATAATTCACAATGGGAAGCTGAGTGATGCCTTCGAAGTGAAGACAGGGGTAGGACAAGGCTGTCTACCATCACCCATGATATTCCAGATTATTGTGGACTGGATCATGAAGCAAACCATGAAAAGCGAGAAGAGGGGGATACGCTGGACTGGGGAAAAGAACCTAGAAGATCTGGATTTCACCTATGACTCACGTCTGATGTCACACAAACTCGAAGATCTACAGGCAAAAACTAACAAGCTGACAAAAGAGGCGAGGCAGTGAAAACAGGACTTCCTTCAGATGGACGTAGAGAAAACAGAGGTGATGATGACCTAATTGAAAAGGAATATATTTCTTCGCTCAGTCAGTCTTTTTTCTAAATGTCTAAATGGGAGTATTCATTGTATTGAAAACACTTAGCAGTCCTTAAATCAATCACATCAAGACCGTCTCCACAACATGGAGATAATTAATCTTCAGTGATCAAGATATCTGCGGTTTACAACAGTGGCACCCCATAGAAGGGAGATAAAAGTGGTATATTTACGTGTGAATAACTTGACTTGGTTTTTAACATACAGTGAGTGGTGAAGCAGATTTTTTAAGAAGTGTTCAGTTTCAATGTAATCTAAGGACTTTAAGAAATGAAGAAATAAAGAACAGACAACTTGGTACCATTCTGTCTTGATGATTCGCTTGTACACAGTTTGGTTTCTCTTTCAAGTGAACGTGGAGAAGACAGAGGTGATGACGATATCCAACCAACGCCGCCATCACCACCACCAACAACAACACACAAGCTCCAATCACCATCTATGGGAGAAACTTGAAGGAAGTAGTCTTCTTCACCTATCTAGGCAGCATCGTTTCAACTATTGGAGGCAAAGGCACAGACGAAGACGTCAAAGTCAGTCAGGATTGGAAAGACAGCAAGACAGGCGTTCACTAACCTGAAACCAGTGTGGAGATCTACTGCACTGAACTGCACTCCACTCAGCATAAAGCGTGAACAACATTCGGATTTTCAACACCAAGTCAGTCAAGTAAGTCAGTGCTTCTATGTGATGATTGAGAGACCTGGTGCGTTACGAAAAACAATTGCAACAAACTACAGATATTCATCAACAGCTGCCGCCTACAATCACTCGATACTGGAGATCAGATGAGATGAGATGGCCAGAATAATAAGGATAAGCAAGGAGGAACTGTGGCTGGCTGGCTGGCTGGCAACGAACCAACGAAGCAGGAACCTATCGCTGAACAAATATGCACTGGAAGGAAGTGAAGATCGATTGGACTGGGCATACGCTGAGAAGGCTGACTGGGGACATGAAGAGACAGGCACTCGAGTGGGACGCAGATGGGAAACGGTGAGTTGGGCGTCCGAGGTGAGGGTGACATGGAGGATATTGTGTGAGGAAGAAATGAGAGCTTGTGGGTAGTCATGGAGTCAGGTTGAAAAGACTGCAGAGAACAGAGTGGAATGGAGACTTGCTACTGAATCTCTATGTTCCGCTGGGAACCCAAGGGACAAATAATAATATAATAGTCGTCATATTAATTTCATGTATTCCAGAGAAACTGCTCAACTTCTTTGCTCACGTTGTTGTGCTAATTCTAAGGCTGAATAAAATTAGGCCTATGTCCTAAATCCCGTCTGCAACTTCAAATTTCACAGAACTTCGAATCTGCTAGGTGGCATTTATGAGATGAAATTGATTTTAAGTCATAATTCTTTTTTAGATAAAATTATTGCAAATGCTTACAGGAAGTCATTTTCTTTTGTTCTAATGCACCTTTACTATGTTTTACTTGGGT